CGGCCGAACCAGTTTTAATATGTCTTGATGTATTGTTATTGCTGTTTTTGCTTAACTGTTGATTTGCTTTGTTATTGCTATGTTATGTTTTCTATTATATTGTGTTTGTGGCTTCGGCCTGTGTAAGCCGCATCGAGTCCTTCGGGAGATGCTCGCGGGGTACAAATAAAGTTAATAATAATAATAATAATGTTTGCATAGCCAAATGATTGACAGTTGCTCAACCACCCACATATAAGAGGAGATTAAAGTGGAAGATTGCCTCACCTTTCCAGAAACATTTCAAACACTCTATGAAATAATTTGTTTTAAAAATTTTCCCCAAATGCCTTCTAGGAAATGTGTGCCGAGGTCATAACTGGAAGTGATTGGAAAATTATTTCTAGCTTGAAAATGGACTTTCTGGCCTCTGGAAGTCTCTCTGGTCATAAAATGGTTGTGGAGGGCCACCCTTTCCCCACCATTGGCTTATTCTTAATACCTGATATTAACACATCCTTCTTCTGCAGCCGAGCTCAGTTTCAGATGGTGAATGACAGTGTGGCCTGGGACGTGTCCCTGGCTAACAGCTAAGAGGAGGTCATCTTGCAGCCAAGTGAGAAGGCGAAGCCACAGTGGGTTTCTCCCATTTTTGTCATCCACACTGTCAATTCTGTGGAAAAAACATTTTATACAGATACCCACACAAAAGATTAATCCAATGTATCACTTGTATCTACTGTTAGAGAAAAGAACAAATATTTTGAGAGTTCACCCAGGCAAGAAAGGCAAAGTGTATACCAGAATATACAAGGAATGATGTATTATCATGAGCTAACCCACTTTGGCAATCAGCAAGGGAAACACAAGAATCATAGGAACAAATTGACAAAGTAAATTAAGGAGGAATCCTTAACTAAATACAAGAAAGACTAGGAAATATTTATTACTTTGATACAGGAAAGATGGGGTCAATCTTCAACTGTTGGTTTCCTGATATAGAAGAGTGTTATTAAAAGTAGAAAGGCAAAGGCGGTGGTGCAGCAGGTTAAGCTGCTGAACTGTTGAACTTGCTGACCGAAAGGTTGGAGGTTTGAATCCGGGTTGCGAGGTGAGCTCTCGCTGTTAGGCCAAGCTTCTGCCAACCTAGCAGTTTGAAAACATGCCAATGTGAGGAGATCAATAGGTACCGCTTGGCGGGAAGGTAACGGCGCTCCATGCAGTCATGCTGGCAGCATGACCTTGGAGGCGTCTATGGACAATGCCGGCTCTTCGGCTTAGAAATGGAGATGAGCACCAACCCCAGAGTTGGACACAACTAGACTTAATGTCAAGGGGAAACCTTTACCTTTACCTTTAGAAATAAAATGATACTTAAAGGGACAAACAAATAGGTTAAAAATAACAGACAATGAGCAGGAGGCTTCTAGGTTAGTTCAGTAAGTGTTTGTTTAGTGTCAGACTTTTTTTTTTTTTTGTTGTGTCAGGAGCGACTTGAGAAACTGCAAATTGCTTCTGGTGTGAGAGAATTGGCCGTCTGCAAGGATGTTGCCCAGGGGACGCCAGGATGATTTGATGTTTTTTATCATCCTTGTGGGAGGCTTCTCTCATGTCCCCGTATGAGGAGCTGGAGCTGATAGAGGGAGCTCATCAGCCTCTCCCCAGATTCGAACCTGCGACCTATCGGTCTTCAGTCCTGCCGGCACAGGGGTTTAACCCACTGTGCCATCGGGGGCTCCAGTGTCAGACTGATACCATAAAAACCACCACAAGCATTCAGTGTTCACTCTCATCAAACAAGAAATGACATTATGTGGCCTTTCCCCAGAATGTGTAGCTTTTTTGGAAACTGGAAAACACACTCTGAATTACGTGAGCATTTATGATTATTAAAATGTCCTGTGAGGTGTGTAATTGATTTATTTGTGCAAAAAGTCAAGTTTCAAGATTTGATTATAAACAGTTTTGTTACATGGTTCTATATAATAACAACAACAACAACAACAACTATTTATTTATTTATATCCTGCTTTTCTCCCTCATGGGACCCAAAGCAGCTTACAATATATCAAAATAATGTAAAAAAAATCCCAAGCCAAATACATCAATAAGTAAAAAACACCATAAAATAACATTTCAAAACAAAAATAATATACATTCACATTCTTGTGGCATCGTGTCAGATCATACTACACTTTGTTCCAGTCCGTAAACATTATGGTGTTTCTTATCACTCCAGCTTAGTTTCCTTCACTAAAAGTATGTCTAAACAGGAAAGTTTTTAACTGGTCCTTGAAGGTTATCTCAATTTGGTTAACTCAATTGAAGTGGACAAAAGTGTTTGATTATGATGGAGGCTTGCAGTCTAATAAAGGCCATGGTTATAGTGGATGAGATGAGCAGCACTTTTGAGAGTTACCAGTACTAAAACTGAGCATCCCTGAAATTGATAATTTTTGGAGACAGCTAGCTAGCTGTAACAGTCAATTCTAAAACTAGGGTGCCAACCTTATCCTTCCTTTTCCCCATACCTTATGAGATCAGCTTGCAATGGGCACAGTTTCTGAACAGCAATGCTAGAACAGCATTTGCAGAAAGGGCTGCTAGGGATGGTTGCCCAATAAAGCAGATACTGAGGCTATACTGCAAACCCATTTTCTGCACCACTTCTTGAACTAACTTCCTGAGATTGATTTAACTATTACAGTGTACTCTTCTCTGTCTGCTCCAAATGTTGCCGATGATAATGGAATACATAAAGTGTCATCATTCTCATAACTGGACATTGCCTGGAAAGCCACAAAGTCTCTAGACAGTGGCTTTCTTTAAAGACAATACCATTTCAGGTTGCATCTTCTCTTATGAATCCTGCTCTGCCATAAGTTTAAACTGTAATACCTGTATGATTTTTCCAGCCAAGGTGCAGCAGCAGAAGCATTAAGTCCACCCACTGCGCCAATTTTCACTGTGGAGTCCATCTTTGTATTCGTACAGCCACCTGTCAAAGGACAACAAACCAAACAAGTCACTGGTCTCCTTGTAGCAGTAGATACAAAAAGCAGATACCCACCTCTCCTAATATCCTTTGGTGTTTCCCTTCTCCCATACTGGCTCCTAATAGCATTGGCTGCATCCTAACTATGATGACAAGTAGTAAACCGTGTTGTTGAAAGCTTTCATGGCTGGAATCACTGGGTTGCTGTGAATTTTCCGAGCTGTATGGCCATGTTCCAGAAGCATTCCCTCCTGACATTTTGCCCACATCTATGACAAGTATCCTCAGAGGTTGTGAGGTATGTTGGAAACTAGGCAAGTGAAGGTAATTACAGACAAGAAACAACACCACTTAACAAAGGATTCCTCCAGGCAGCAACCAGCCAGGCTTTAAAGCTGCAAGGCCATTCAATGCTAATCAAGGTGGCCAACTGCAACATTCACACTTGCCTCCAACAGACAAGAGTTCTTTTTCCCACCCTGGGCATTCCACAGATATATAAACCACACCTGCCTAGTTTCCAACAGACCTCACAATCTCTTAAGATGCCTGAAACATATGTGGGTGAAACGTCAGGAGAGAATGCTTCTGGAACATGGCCATACAGCTTGGAAAACTCACAGCAGCCCAAACAGTAAACCAATTACAGGGAATCTGACTGCAGAAGGCAATAAGGAAAATCCTCAGGCCACTGTCGGACAGAATATAGAACATTCTGTTGATTTGTTCACCCCTTGTTTTGATTTTTTAAGAGTTACTGACTTGTTATTGTTTGCTGCAGTTCTTGATAGGTAAAACAGACAAGTTGGGATTTGCTGAATTCAGTATGAAAGTTATTTCTCCAAGAAAAAGGAACAGCCTGAACACATTTACGTGCGAATAATAAATTGTGGTACTGATATATAGAAATCTGCAAGATATCAAATAACTGTGGAAGTGAAGGATTTCAGCTGTCAAGACACAGAAACCTAAAATGTTCAGCTTTATATATTAAAACCCTGTTCTCTGTCATTGGCTGCATTGCGCTTCCACTGCAATCTCTCCACAGGCAAGATAAAAATAAATATACAGTACATAAATAAAAGCATGTCCCTTGAAAGCAAAGATTTACTACTGTCTCATGTCTGTTTGTGCATGTTGAGGGGAGATGCCATAGTGAGAGAAGGTGTATCTCACTCTGACACTCTTCCTAAGGACAAACATGAAAAGAAATTATTTCCAAAGACACAAGTGCAGAAAAAACATGCTTAAAGGTGGCTGCCTTGGTTTCCTGCTTGCTATGAACAAAACCAAAGCCAATGTGAGATGACCTACCAGATCTATAAATGGAAATCCTGTGATTCGCATCCAGGACAGCAAGATCCCCACTCCTAGCTGGCTCAGAACAGAAGGCAACTTGGTTGACTGTGCAGGGAAGCTGGAGCTGATATGTGCAAAGGGGTGGCGGGACCACCGCGTGCCGGAAGGCGGTCAGCAGCACCTTGTCTTTCAAAGAAGGAGACAAAAAATCACTCAATTTCTGTCACTCAAGAAACTGTTAATACACAGTTCAATAGTATAACTGTAGTCAGATCTCCACACTTGAAGGCTTAACTTTGGTGGATTTGGTTGACATGGTCCTTCTGGTTGACCACAGAGTTGTGCAGGAAGATCTAGAAATTCCAAGACAGCTGTCGTTTCATGCTGGATCTACACTGCAATATATTCCAGGATTTGATCCCAGATTATCTTCTTATTCCAGATTATCTAGCAGTGTAGATTCATAATCCAATTCATAGCAAATAATCTGGGATTTTTTTTTTCGTGTCAGGAGTGACTTGAGAATCTGGGATCAGATCCTGGGAAATAGGGCAGTGTAAATCCAGCCTCAGGTAAAACAGAAGGGCCTTTTATTCAGTTTCCCAGTAAATGAGGAGAGCTGACTGTAGTCCTCTCTTGGGCAATAACCACAGTATTTAGGGATTTTAAAGAAATCAAACAAGGTAACCTTCACTTGAATTTCAGAGAGAGGAGCAATATTTGGGAGACCTAAAGCGACCTTCCCCCGACTCCGATGAGATCCACTGTAGCTTCAAGGCTAAAGCCAGTTCTAACAGCAACTACATTTTGGAAAAATGATGCCATAACCTTTTGGGAATGGAAATCTCCATAACCATTTGGAAAATGGCATTCATTACTTTGTGGGAAAAACAGGAATCTCCCTGAGAAGAGTTAAAAACTTGATTGTTGTAGGTTTTTTCAGGCTATATGACCATGTTCTAGAGGCATTCTCTCCTGACGTTTCGCCTGCATCTATGGCAGGCATCCTAACAACCTCTGAGGATGCTTGCCATAGATGCAGGCGAAACATCAGGAGAGAATGTCTCTAGAACATGGTCATATAGCCCGAAAAAACCTACAATAACCCAGTTAAAAACTTTCTTCTACTTAGTGGTAAATATATTGTCGAAGGATTTCATGGCTGGAATCACTGGGTTGTTGTAGTTTTTTTCAGGTTTTTTCTGAGGCATTCTCTCCTGACGTTTCACCTGCATCTATGGCAAGCATCCTCAGAGGTAGTGAGGTTCTCACTACCTCTGAGGATGCTTGCCATAGATGCAGGCGAAACGTCAGGAGAGAATGCCTCTAGAACATGGCCATATAGCCCGAAAAAACCTACAACAACCCAATTACTGTATTGTTTCAATTCTAAGACACATCCCCCCATATCTAAAAATGGTATGCCTCTTATAATTGAAGGTGTGTCTTATGTATTTTTGAAATTAGGCTGTGTCTTGCAATCAATGGAATCTTATAAATTAAGAAATAAGGTATATCAACCCATATTATAGAGTGTGGAATGGGGAAGAAACAAAGTAAAGCAAGTGGAGGAAGAGTTCAGTAGCGTGGCCTAATCTTAACATGTGGCTGTCGCTTACACACCCAAATCCTGGCTCACTGGGAGCATACCTCCATCGATGACTGCCACACTAGCCGAGTCACTTGCCCCTCCGCCGGTGCTGCGATCAATGCTCCACTGCCAGTCATAACACAGATAAAGCCACTGCTGACAGAGGATGTGAAGTCGGTAAGGAGTCTCCTGGTCCCACACCATGGACACAATGCGATGGCTGTCTTCAGAGCTATCGAAAGGCAAGCTTTGCTTCAGATACCAGTGGTAGTTTCCTGTCGTCCACAGCTGAACTATATGCAGAACACACAAGGAGTACAGAATACAAGATAGAAGAGAGCCATTAGCTATGCTGTAACCTGCCTTGAGCCACTAGCAGAGGTGGGTAAGAAATAATAATAATAATAATAATAATAATAATAATAATAATAATAATTTGATACACAACAAGATTAGTACACAGTAAACAAGATCACCATGCTGGTTTTTGTAGTCAATCACATGTCGGATACTTCCCAAGTGTCTAGAACTGTGTGATGTATCAGTAAATAATATGTGCAGATCTCAGTAAGGTGGCCTTTTGCAATTGTTTTTAAGTGCAGGCCAGGGTCTTTAGGCATTGCACCCAGTGTGCCAATCACCACTGGGATCACCTTTACTGTGCCAGAGTCTTTGCAGTTCGATCTTTAAATCCGTGTATCATGTCAGCTTTTCCAGTTGCTTAACTTCAATTCTACTCTCACCTGGGATTGCAACGTCGACGATCCATACTTTTTCCATTATTATTAGTAGTAGTAGCTGTTGTAGTTTATTTTAAATCCACAACTAGCAATAATGCTCTGAAACTCCTTGATCTTTGGTGTTTTTTTGGGAATTAGGAATCTTCTCTATTCACCTGTATAATTCACCTGAGTCCTCGGTGGCGCAGTGGGTTAAACCCCTGTGCCGGCAGGACTGAAGACCGACAGGTCGCAGGTTCGAATCCGGGGAGAGGCGGATGAGCTCCCTCTATCAACTCCAGCTCCTCATGCGGGAACATGAGAGAAGCCTCCCACAAGGATGATTAAAAACATCAAATCATCGGGACGTCCCCTGAGCAACGTCCTTGCAGACGGCTAATTCTCTCACACCAGAAGCGACTTGCAGTTTCTCAAGTCACTCCTGACACGACAAAAACAAAAACAAAACCTGTATAATATACAACCTGCTCAAACATGAGCATTTTCAAGGGAGCTACTTGTCCCTTACACTTTTTTGTTCAACCACACATTTTTTATCTCTTTCCCAACATTTGGGTCAAAAGGACTGGGTAATTTTTTATTATTATTATTATTATTATTATTATTATTATTATTATTATTTCACCACCACCATCTTGTTTGCCTATCAATTTGAAAACAGGAGGCTGTGTAGCAAACCTAAGGAGTGGACGGTATCAAACCTGGCCACCAGCTGTAGTACAATATTATTTTCTTTCTTGAAGATCTTTAGAAACCTCTTTTCTACCTATCTGGGACATCACAGCAGTATACAAAGAAATCACAGTATTTTATTTTATACAAAAAGAATGCATCTTCAAAAACAGACTATAAACAACCTTAAAAATAGAAGGTCTGAATAAACAGCCCAGTTTTGATGGTACACATACAGATATATTTGCAGTTCATACAGTTTCTTCTCCACATGACTGAGGGTGTGATTGTTTTACGATCATATCATCATACACAAACTACATTAATTATAGGAAGGCCGCAGCTACTGTATAATAATGATGGAGCCCCCGGTGGCGCAGTGGGTTAAACCGCTGAGCTGCTGAACTTGCTGACCAAAAGGTCAGCGGTTCAAATTTGGGGAGCAGGGTGAGCGGAGTGGTGGTGCTCATCTCCATTTCTAAGCCGTCTGTAGATGCCTCCAAAGTCAAGTGGTCGGCATGAGTGCATGGAGAGCTGTTACCTTCCTGCAGAGGCTGTACTTATTGATCTACTCACATTTGCATGTTTTCGAACTGCTAGGTTGGAAGAACCTGGGCCTAACAGCAGGAGCTCACACTGCTCCCCGGATTTAAACCACCAATCTTTCAGTCAGCAAGTTCAGCAGCTCAGCGGTTTAACCTGCTGTGCCAAACTCATTAAAATGGGAATAAAATAGGGCATAGCTTCCAACCACCCATATGATAGTATTATCTCTTCCTTTACTCACCTTCCTCTACTCCACATTATTATCACTGTATTTATCTTTCATACTTCGGCAACAAAGGCTTATGTCTACTTAAGGTCATGATAATGTGGGTATCTTTTTGCACATGCAATAGATTTGTGATAGAGCAAAGACATTTTGTATGTGATACATTATATAATGGGGAAAACACTAAATCTGAAGATTCAGATGAAACCAGAATTTTATTTGCTGAGGTTGTTAGATGATCAACATGAAAAGTAAAATATAGAAGAATCCTAAAACGTATGATTACAACTGCCTGCTTGGCAGAAATATGGCAATTTCATTAAGAGAAGATTGGCGAAGGGAAGAGGTATGATTTGGCCAAGATGAACAAACTGGATTAAGGAAAATACACCAAAAAATTAATCAATAGGATAATCAGTAATTGCTTTGGAAGAATAGTAGATGTCACGATAAGCTCTTACCGTACGTCTTTGGTTGAGAGTTATTCTCACTGTTCAGTTCTTCCAACCACACAGCCAATATCATTGAGTCTGAATTCCAGAGCAGCTCCTTTACCTAAAGCAAAGCAGACGGGGCTGTCACACGAACCAATGCAATTCCCAATGGAAAGCTTGATCTCTTGCCATATACTCCCTTCCTTCTGAATATTTCACATTTATGGGGAATTCTACATTTTTCCAATTAAAAGCAAGCAACATTAGGCAGATGTGCAAGAAAAGTGTCAGCAACTTCAAAATATCTCTGCTAAAAAAAATGTTGGAAGAAAAGCGTAACCCTACCTTGGTTTGGCCTTTCTGGAAGGGAAGCGTAAATTCACCATGAAGAAGACCATTTTTTTCAAAGAACACAACATCGTGTTTGTTGGCTTTGTCTTGTGTGGATGCAATTAAGCTTCCAGAAGGCCTTAAGCATGAAGGGGGAAAAGGATATAAAAGAAAGTTTGGCATGTAAGTCAATAATTCTTTAAACACCATTTTTGAAACATAGCAAATCTCTGCCCGCTTGGCAGAAATAGAGCATGAGAATATGCAGATATAGAGCATGAGAATGTGCCAGAGGGAAGGTACATAAGGTGGAGGAAACTGGCCACATGCAGCCCCATTTATTCTGATTTATTGGAAGTCACTGAGAACTAAGCTTTACCTTCATTTTCCTTCACTGCCTATCATTTAAAAAATAATTTCATTCTAGAAAAAAAGAAAATAGTGCTGACAGTTTTTAAGTGCAGGCCAAGGTTTTTAGGCACTGCACCCAGAGTGCTGATCACCACTGGGACCACCTTTACTGGCTTGTGCCAGAATCTTTCTAATTCGATTTTAAATCCTCATATCGTGCAAGCCTTTCTCCTCATATTGTGTAAGCTTGTCCAGTTGCTTCTCGTAAATTCTGCTGTCACGTGGGATTGCAACATTGACAATGCATACTTTGGGTTTTTTTCCACGATTGTGAGGTCAAGAGTACTGTGCTCCTAAACTATGTTTGGATTATTATTATTATTATTTATACCCCACTTTTTCTCTCCACATGGAAACTCATCATTATTAAGATGCAAGGCTAGTGAACTGACTATGGGAATATTCAAATAGATTGGACATTTACATGTCACAAACAGCTAATGCTCCTTACTCACTTCCAAGCCAGTGCTTGTTCTAACCCAGGCACAGGCTCACTTGTAGTCTGCAAAATAAGTTCTCGGCTCCAGACTCTGATTTTCCGAGCTCCTGTGCATTTGAAGAGAGTAGGAGAAAGAGAGGCAAGAGTCACTGGGATTATTTCCCGGGCTTCATGATTTGCAGACATTGCTTCTTTTATAGAGACTTCCAATTAATATTCCCTGAACATTCTAAGCTCTATATACACATATGTTACACCTAGATTAACTGTAGGTCCAAGTTTTCATAGTCTGTCACAAGGAATGTTTCACTCTTTCTTTGTTAGAAATCAATAAAATCTCTATTACAGTAGTAGAGTCTGGCTTATCCAACATAAACGGGCCGGCAGAATGTTGGATAAGCAAAAATGTTGGATAATAAGGAGGGATTGAGAAAAAGCCTATTAAACGTCAAATTATGTTGTGATTTTACAAATTAAGCACCAAAGCATCGTGTTTTACAACAAATCGACAGAAAAAGCAGTTTGACACACAGTAATGTTATGTAGTAATTACTGTATTTACAAATTTAGCACCAAAACATCACTATGTATTGAAGCAGCTGTGGATCTGGGCGGGAGGTAGACTGTCCTGGATAATACAGAATGCTGGATGAGCAATAATAATATAATGACATATATAACGCATGCACAAATTTGTATGCAATCAACCATGGCACATTTTCCATGTATTCAGTCCATTCAATATACATATTCTATGGGGCTTCTAGCCACCAATAGCAGAAATGATGGTGGTCCGACTGGACATTACTATAATGTGGTTCCTGGGATAGACACTGCAGGAATCGACTCACTTATAAGTAAGTTACACAGTTCAGCTATGTTTGGGTGTGGCAGGATGAGTTTTTCTAAATTTGTCCTTGGATCCCAAAAAGAACAGTTAATAATCCAGCAGCTCAATGCCCTTGTCCTTGGACCTCAACAAATTAGCAATAATAATATAATAATATATTTATATTCCGCTCAATCTATAGGGAACATATTTAGGAAGAGCTGAAGAGAAACAGAGGGGATCTGTTTTTTTTGAGGAGTTACAATTAGGGGGTGTAAAATCCCTTCTTCTCCTTGCTTAATGCAATGTTGCTAGCAAAATAATTCAGACCAACCTGTCTCTGGGCAAACAGCACTCACTGCAAAACACTGTCCATCTCCTCTCCATGTGATCCGAGGTTTATGGTCGTCCCATGACAAAGCCGGCCACACTTCCTAGGAAAACAACATGAGGTGCATTTCATGTTATCAAGGAAGTAATAGAAGAATAATCAGAAGATAGTTATTTACCCCTTCTTACTATTTCATCCTATCTCCCTCTCTGCTGTACTGTATCAAAACGAATAAAGCTGGAAAATTAAGGTGCAGTGAGTATAATAAAATGACAGGTGAGAGCACAATCCATTAATCGCCAAACCGATCTCATCTTCATTTGCTGATAGTTTTTTAGGAAGAGAATCCTAGCTATAGATGGTCACTTGTTGATATCTAATTGAGAGCATCACCTATCTTATATAAATAAAAATGTAATGTTCGTTTGGGGGATTAACATAACTAAAAAACCACTAGACAAACTGACACCAAATTTGGACACAATACACCTATCAGGCCAATGAGTGACCACTCATAAAAACACTGAAAAGCACAGCAGAAGGAACTTAAAAACCCAAAAAACAAAAATTACATTACAACGCATGCGCAAAACCACACACACACACACATATATATGCGCAAACACACATATACACAGACTGGGCCACAGCAACGCATGGCAGGGGATGGCAAGTAGGTAATAAAATGGCATGGAAAGTCTCCTTGAGGCTCCAGCCTGGCTTTATCTTAGGACTCTGCATTTCATAAACCTGAGAACTTAAGACTAGCCAAAAATTGGGAAAAATTAAGTGAAACTACAGCTGATATTATGGAGCTCCCAGCAGCGCAGCAGGTTAAACCACTGAGCTGCTGAACTTGCTGACCAAAAGTTCGCCGGTTCAAATCCAGGAAGCGGGGTGAGCTCCTGTTGTTAGCCCCAGCTTCTGCCAATCTAGCAATTCGAAAACATGTGAGTAGATCAATAGGTACTGCTCCGGCAGGAAGGTAACGGCATTCCATGCAGTCATGCCAGCCACATGACCTTGGAGGTGTCTATGGACAATGCCGGCTCATCGGCTTAGAAATGGAGATGAGCACCAACCCCCAGAGTTGGGCATAACTGGACTTTATGTCAGGGAAAACCTTTATATTTACTTATAGCTGATATTTTCTTCTAGCCATATGAAAGGAAGAAAGGCAAGGAGCTTGCATGAAGAAAGCACTTAAGCTTTGCTCAGGCTTGGAGGGAGTCATGGATCTAATGCTAAATCCAACAGGGCTCATTTGAATGTATATACAGTGAGCTCTGTAGTTGAATAAATCTACTCAGTCTGAGTCCAACTCTCTATACTACCTCTGTGATGTTATGAAATAATATTTATTGCATTTTAACATGGAGAGTTTATCAGTGTCCCCAATTAGACTCCACTGCGCTTAGATCCATCCTCTTTCCATTATATTTTAATTTACAAGGGTTCTTTTTCTAGTATACAAACAATATTTATATTCTTATAATACAGTACCACTGGTTTGGTTCGGGCTGCCTGCTTGCCTTCCGATCCATGAAATTGTGTTTCCTTTTTACCCCAGCCAACAGTAATAAACTTTCCTAGAAGTAAACCAAATAACAATACATGAGGATTGATTACCAGAAGTTATCACCCCAACATTTCTATGGCTTCCTTTCAAATCTCCAAATATTTTGCAAGTTTTGTGAGCTGTTACTGCATGATGCCAACCACTGGATGTCAACATTGCCTAGTGATGAATGGGATCAGAAGTAAATCTTACACTTTTCAAGCAAAAAGGTTTGATTTGGACAGAAAAATAGTTTGTTTTTTAAAAATGTATACATAAGTTTTCTTCTAGAGATAACCTATGTATCTAAGTATATCCATGCTTAACCATGTAATCATGCTGTACCAGATACCCCCAAACCATGAGCAGCTATCCTGCTCAACATGATTGTATTAAAAATGAATGCTACAGCACAACTCCCATATCTGCGAAACCAAGATATGTGATTACGCTTATCCACAGTTCCATTTATTGACTTAGGACCTCCTATTCAAGCTACACCTTCTTCTCAGGTTCTTATATTAGTCATCCAACTGAAAATAATAGGTTTTGCTGTCATCAGCAATTTTATGTATCCATGAGAAGTTTGGGAATGTATCATCTGTGAGTATGGGGGCCACATTATATTTCCAAAGCTTGGAAGCAATACATTACAAGTAATGACATTACCTGTAACATGTTGTTTCTGAGCATAATGAAAACACAGCAACATATTTTGAATGAAAAAAATAATGTAAACACTAAGATTTACTTGTTACAAATGAAGGGGATTTTACTAGTACAATAACAAGTTACTTTTCTAAAAGCAGCAGCTACTGGACTTCACAAACAATAACACTTCAGGTTCTGATGCTATCACATCTTTTTTTCCTGTAATTTGTAGCAAAACTATATAAATAACACATTTATTGAGAGATGCACGAGAAAAATAGATTTCTACAAGATGCAATGTTTAGGAAGTACTGAGGGTCCTTCCACACAGCTCTATGACCCAGAATATAAAGGCAGAAAATCCCACAATATTGGCTTTGAACTGGGTTATCTCAATCCACACTCAGATAATGTGGGATTTTCTACCTTGGTATTCTGGGATATAGGGCTGTGTGGAAGGGCCCCCAGAATATCAAAGAATAAAATCCCACAATATCTGCTTCGAACTGGATTATCTGAATCCACACTACCATATATTCCAGCTCAAAGCATAAAAATGTGGAATTTTATTCAGCTGCGTGGAAGGGCTCTGAGCTGCAAAAAGCTGAACTTTTTGAAGACTGCTAACATGTACACTAGTCACATCCAATTAAAAGTGAGGCAACTATAAAAATGAAGAAATTTTAATCAATTAGCAGGTGACTGACAGATGTGGGAAGTCTGACTTGGCCACAGTAGTCCACGCTCTGGTTACATCCCGTTTAGACTACTGCAACGCTCTCTACGTGGGGTTGCCTTTGAAGACGGCTCGGAAGCTCCATAGTCCAACGCTCGGCAGCCATGATACTAACAGGAGCGGAGCGCAGGGAGCATACAACTCCTCTGCTGCACCAGCTCCACTGGTTGCCGATTTGCTACCGGGCTCAATTCAAAGTGCTGGCGTTGGCCTATAAAGCCCTAAACGGTTCTGGCCCAAGCTACCTATCCGAACGTATCTCTGCCTATGACCCCACCAGGACTCTAAGATCTTCTGGGGAGGCCCTGCTCTCGATCCCGCCTGCATCACAAGCACGGCTGGCGGGGACGAGGGACAGGGCCTTCTCTGTGGTGGCCCCTCGACTGTGGAACGCCCTTCCCATGGACATTAGATCAGCCCCTTCGTTAATTGTGTTTCGAAGAAAACTAAAAACCTGGCTGTTTGAACAGGCGTTCAGATAAATAGTGCAATTGAACGATGAATATAGGAATGGATTTATGGATGATGAATTGGATCACGATTTTAGTTACGAGATGCTAATGTGTTGTTATTGATGTGTCATTATTTGTATACTAGGCTGTTAATGGTTTTAAATATTGTATGTTGTACGATTGACTTTTTTGCTCTTGTTGTGAACCGCGTTGAGTCGCCTACGGGCTGAGAAACTGCGGTATACAAGCAAAGTAAGTAAGTAAATAAATAAATAAATGTGGATATATCCGCCTATATTTTGCAGTGAAGGTAACAGAAGTTTCCCTAGTTTTCTCCTCCCCTATAAATATCTTCATCCACTCGCTCATTTTATCACAAAAAAAATCTTTAAAGTCTGAACAAATATAGAAAATCAGGAGAAGAAAATATTGGATCATATTTACAAAGCGATAGCAATGTCTTTTATGAAGATCAATCATTTGGCAGCAGCAACCCACCTTCTCCAAAGTCATTTTGATGGATTTCTCTTTCTGCAATCGGTTCAAAATCCCTTGTCATCAGAATGAGTGTCTGCTGACCTGTCACACAGTAAATATACATAAACAATTAAAATTAAATTTTCCAGTCACATTTGAGATTAATTAATTTAATAAAATCATAATTCAACACAGAATTCTAAACATGTGAATGTTGGGGTGACTACTAAGATCCCTCTTGAAATATTGAGAAGATAATATTAAGGGAGATGTTGACAAGCTGGAATGTGTCCAGAGGAGGGCGACTAAAATGATAAAGGGTCTGGAGAACAAGCCCTATGAGGAGCGGCTTAAAGAGCTGGACATGTTTAGCCTGAAGAAGAGAAGGATGAGGGGAGATATGATGAGGGCCATGTATAAATGTGTGAGAGGAAGTCATAGGGAAGATGGAGCAAGCTTGTTTTCTGTTGTCCTGGAGACTAGGATGCAGTGGAACAGTGGCTTCAAACTACAAGAAAGGAGAATCCATCTGAACATTAGGAAGAACTTTCTGACTGTGGGAGAGCTGTTCAGCAGTGGAACTCTCTGCCCCGGAGTGTGGTGGAGGCTCCTTCTTTGGAGGCTTTTAAACAGAGGCTGGATGGCCATCTGTCGGGGGTGCTTTGAATGCGATTCTTGGCAGAATGGGGTTGGACTGGATGGCCCACGAGGTCTCTTCCAACTCTAGGATTCTATGAGACAAATTTCCCATTTCAGGAGAAAAGCAGGGTATAAATTCAATAAATTAAATGAAATAAAATACCAAGCTCACACAGCTCTACTTCTAGCAGAGGAATTGGAGAATAAGAAGTACGCAGACTTTAAAGTTTGGATGTGACAAAACAGTAGCAGAACATTGTTGTTTCCACTGTTATTAAGCATGGATGGATGGCTCTGCTTTTTCAATAGCACAGGTAGGTTCTTACATGAAAGTAACAAAGCCTTTTCTGCAAACTTTATAATAGGACAGGTTTGCAAACTGTACTGGATCAAAGCATAAAGAATACACATAAAAACACTATGTAACATTATTTTTGTTCCTGGGTTATAAATGTCATTTCCTAATTGGTTCTATAAAAAAATGGAAAAGGTTTATTAAAATTGTTTTTTGCAGGATATCCTGCAGGACATTTGGCTATAGCTTTTCAATGAATCTCTCACTGAGTCTCAACAAATTCAACATAGTTTGTGGCAGACACAGAAACGAAGTTTCTGGAGTATAGCAACTATTTTCAAAGTAAGTACTACACAATTAAACAAAAAATAACATTTTCGGAACAGACTTTTTTTCAAATTTGGTTCTATAATGTAATTTCTATTTATAATGTTGACCCTCACCTGTAGCAAGAACAACAAGCTCTTGGTCAGGGCTCCAGCTCATCACGCTTATACCGCTGTCCACACTGCCAACACACTCCATCTGAAATTTAAACAAGGGAAAGATTTTCCACTAATGCCATACTTGGACCTCCAATAGCAGCCTGGAGAGAGAGAAATTAACCAAGTGAAGTTTCTGGCCCACCAGTGGTCTTTCTGCCAGGAGAAGCTCAGTCTCTAACATGCCCAGAAGTCAAGCCGCCATTCAAACTGATTCTTCTTTATTCCCAGGTATATTGCGCTCATGGGAAAGTACACCTCCACTGGTGACTAGCCCACTGCTTCCTAAACTGTGGGTCCTGACCCCAAATTGAGTCCCCTCAGTTCAATGTTGGGGACATGGAAAATTTGGCAACAGTAAAAAATTTGCATGAGTCTGTTAGCAACAACTTGCAATGTTTACAGTGGACTCTGCAAAAAAATACTTCAGCTGTACTCCACAAGAAGTGTTTAGCAAGCCTTGCAAATGCATAAATGTTTGCTTTTATACCTATTTTATATACCTACTAGCCATCGCCTGCCACGCATTGCTGTGGCCCAGTCTGTGTATATGTATTTTGTGTGTGCATATGTGTATATATGTGTGTTTGCATATATATGTGTGTGTGATTTTGCACATGCATTTTTTAAAAAATATTTTGGATCTTTAAGTCTCTTCTGCTGTGTTTTTCAGTGTTTTTATGAGTGACGTTCACTCATTGGCCTGATACGTGTATTGTGTCCAAATCTGGTGTCAATTCGTCTAGTGGTTTTTGAGTTATGCTAATCTCACAAAGGAACATTACATTTTATTTATATAGATATACCTAGGGTCATGTAAAAATGTATAGGGAAAAAGAAGATCATGTGCAGAAAAGTTTAAGAAGTCCTGCCCTAACTGAAAGTAAGCTAACCCAAATGCATTCCTAAAATATATTTAATCAAATTAAAAAACTGAAAAATTCAAAATTTTCATGTAATGGAAATCTACCACTGGCGGGGACCCCCTATTGCTTGCATGTGGTTAAATATGCATGTGTAACTGTTTGTATCTCTTGTATACATTTTGTCCTTTATTTATAGCAATGTCAAGAAGCCAATATATAGTAGGCTGTCTGTTTTCACAGAGGATAGTGACATATGTGGAGGGCAAACTGTACTACACTTATAGAAAGGGAAAAGGCTAAAATTTTTGCATCTATCCCAAGGCGCTCTTTGGCGTTTTAAAGATTACATGGCACCAACTGCCATTGTCATACCTGACTGGTGTTGAGATTGCACAGGATAACATCTCCAGTTGCGATAGCCACACAGGCAGACTCTTGATCTGGCAAGTCCTCAATGCCCACAATGCACCCACTTCCATCTTCTGGTAGAAACCCTTCCGTTGTTAGAGGGATTTCTTTTATGACCTTTCAAAGAGACACAGCCATGAGACATATCGCTCACCTCTATAGTACATCTTGATTTCAGCATTGAGAAAGGAGGGATTAAATATTTTTCAGAGGCTTTTAAACTGAGGCTGGGTGGCCATCTGTCAGTGGTACTTTGATTGTGTTTTTCCTGCACAGCAAGGGGTTGGACTAGATGGTCCATCTGGTCTATTCCAACTCTATTATTCTATGAATGTCTCATCAGCATCAGACTAATGGTTCAAAGCATGGGAAAACCCAACAATGACAGCTGTTTCAGCAAAGGTGAAACAAAATGGGCTGGAAGACAAACATGTGTTGCATTTAACCTGTGTAAAAACAGTTACACCATTGGGTTTCTGTGAGTTTTCTGGGCTGTATGGCTGACCATGTTCCAAAAGTGTTCTCTCCTGATGTTTTGCCCACATCTATGCCAGGCATGCACAGAGGTTGAGGGGTCTGTTGGAAACTAAGCAAGTGAGGTTTACATATCCATGGAATGTCCAGGGTGGGAAAAGGAACTGTTGTCTGTTTGAGGAAAGTGTGAATGTTGCAATTAGCCACCTTGATTAGCATTGAATGGCCTTGCAGTTTCAAAGCCTGGCTGCTTCCTGCCTTGGGGGAAAATCCACCCAGAGTAAAAGTGTTCTTACCATACATCAAGGGAACCACTGACTGCACAGGAAAGCTGATGAAGAAAGACAACTTACAAACTATCTACAGACCTACAAAGAAAATCCAACAAATGCTATGTTCAGCAAAGGACAAGAGAGATCCCCTCACCTCTGCAAGAGCCTACCATAGACCATGCAGTTGTGGACACGAATCAAGGAACATGAAAGGCACTGCAAACTAATTCAACCAGAGAAGTCAGCCATAGCAGAGCACCTGATGAACCAACCTGGACACAGCATATTATTTGAGGACACAGAAATGCCGGACCACTCTGACAACCATCATGTCATACTTACACAGAAAAACCACAGAAATCCACAAGCACATGGACAATTTCAACAGAAAGGAAGAAACCATGAAAATGAACAAAATCTGGCTACCAGTATTTTTTTTAAACACTCTAAAATCAGGACAAAAATAAAGAACAACACTGAAAAAACAGGAGAATTCCAGACAAGAAACAATCAGGACCAGCTAACACTTCACAACAAAGGATCCCCCAAGGTAGGAAGCAGTCAAGCTTTGAAGCTGTAAGGCTATTCGATGCTAATTAAGGTGGCTAATTGCAACAATCACACAAACAGACAAAGGTTCTTTCTCCCACTGATTCTGGCCATGAAAGCCTTCGACAACACATAGCTACATCATTCTGAGCCATAATTTTAAATGCTGGAAAGGACATTGGTACTTTTACACAGATGATATAAGATTGCAACGTGGTTAATCATGGGGAAAATAATCTAACATACTTGGAGACCATTTAGGGCCCTAAAAAGAAGTCTTGAACTGAGATTGCCATTGCTCTGCATGAATATCAATGAAATGTTACAGTCCAAAGATTTAATTGCCTTTTTACCAGCAGCACGCAGAACAAACTTTGGAAGACAAGCATCATAAAGTGGTGGATTGGTGTTTGGAATCAAGTCCTCAACTACACCCCTCCAAAAATCCCAACAAAAGAAACTTATTTTACAAAACCTGGGATCTGTAAGATGATCAAGATCAAGGGTTAAGTCACAGTACGCACACAGGCCTATAAAAAAGTTGACTCTATTTTTTGGCCCCGCTCTTTTGACGAAAATTTATGCATGAAGTATATTCAGTATACACTCCTTCTGCCCATACATTCATGGTTAGGCCCAGCCTTACAACAAGCCATGGACTCATTGTGGACAGTAGTCCAAGATGCTAGGACCAGTGGTTCTCAACTTGTGGATCCCCAGATGTTTTGGCCTTCAACTCCCAGAAATCCTAACAGCTGGTAAACTTGGCTGGGATTTCTGAGAGTTGAAAGCCAAAACATCTAGAGATGCACAGGTTGAGAAACCAGTGTGCTAGGGAGAGTTTTTTTAGACTTGAGTGTTTTTAGTCCTTCCTTGAAAGACAAACTTTAGTGAACCACAGAAGTATAACAGGTATGACGGACACATTCTCTCACCTCTTGTGTGAGAGGGTCCAGCTCCACAATCCCATACTCTGTGCTGATTAAGAGCGTCCCTCTGTCCAGACGGAGCGTGAATCCCTGAGGGGTCCCAAGGGCTTGAGCTGCCTGGCATTCCCGCACTCGCAGGAGCTTAAGATTTCTCATGTTGTCTTCCCTATGTACAACAGAGAAAAGAAAATGCTACAAGCAAATCAAAACAAGTACCTTAAAAAAACTTAAAGACACGTTAAAAACAATTAAAAAACCATTGATACTTAAAGCAAATGAGACGCACCAAGAAAACAATATGTTTTACTAAGATCCAAATTATCTGAATTGAACTGGATTATATGGCAGTGTAGACTCATATAATCCAGTTCAAAGCAAATAATTTAGATTCTAATTGGATTATATGTCAATGTAGATTCCCCCACCAAGAGAAACTGAATGACTGTGTCGTGAAATGATGCATGTCTGAAAATTGTATCACCAACATGTGAAATTAGGAATGTTCTGCTATAATGTTTTGAACTACAACACCCAACATTCCTCACCATTAGCAGTGATGGCTAGATAGGCTGGCTAGATAGTTTGATGGGAGAAGCTACAAGACTGTTATCCTTGAATTAAACAGCAGGGTATTTGATTCAGAATAGACAAGAATAAATACCCAGCTCCTTCACATTTCACGTCCTTTGGTTTTGGGAGGGAAGGCTAATTATTCAAAAAGTAAACTCCTATTTATTCATGTGGAGGAAGTCTAAAGCTGGGTCTACACTGCCATGTTTCCCAGGATCTAATCCGAGATTATCTCCTTTGATCTGGATTATATGAATCTATACTGCCAGATAATCTGATATAAACAGACAATCTGGGGTGAGATCCTAGGATATAGGGCAGTTTTGATCCGGCCTCCAAGGCCATTAACTTGGGCCCCTTCTACACTGCCATATGATTTATTTATTTGCTATATTAGTATACTGCCCTTCTCAGCCTGCAGGCAACTCAAGGCAGTTTATAGAGGCAACAATTCAATGCCCAACAACACCATAGAAACGTTTAAAACATTTAAAAACATTAATATATAATACAAAACCATAACAAGATCAATAAAACATAAATAATTTGCATCTCCTAGTTAAAACATTGTCCAATCTCATGATCCAGTGATCTCATGATCCAGATTATCAAATCCGATAATCCACATTATCTGCTTTGAACTGGATTGTATGGGTCTACACTGCCATACTATCCAGTTCAAAGCAGATTATCTAGATTTTATATGGTAGTGTAGACAGGGCCTCCAAAGAACATGGCATCAATGAAAGAGAAAAACAAAATAACTATTTGATTTGAGTAATATGCATCGAATTCAGGGTAATTTAGGCCCCTTCCTTACAGCTGAATAAAACCTCATATTATCTGCTTTGAACTGGAATATATGGCAGTGTGGACTCAGATATTCTAGTTCAAAGCAGATATTGTGGGATTCTCTGCCTTGATATTCTGTGTGGAAGGCCCCTAGGAGTGGCTTTCCTTATTTCCATTGTTACCAGCTAACTGCATGTACATTCTGATTAATTTTAAAAATATGTATGGCACAATATATATTGATATACTGTATATGAGGCCCCTAGGACCATAAGAAATGCAATCACTGTTAACAACTTATTCTCAAATTGCTCATAGTGAAGTGGTTTGAGGGCTCTGGAGTTTGGTTGGCCATGGAAACATCCTTCGCAATCTTGGGTGAGTCACACTCTCTCAGCCTCAGATCGAGGCAATGGCAAACCTCAAGCCAAACAAGGAAACCCTGGGATAGGTTTGCCGTAAAGTTGGAAATGGCTTAGAAGCAAGCTTCAAAGGCAGCAGGTAGATCCTGTCTGATCTTGAAAGCTAAGCAGGGCCATCCCTGGTTAGCACTTGGATGGGAGACCGCCAAGGAAGCCTAAATGCTGTAGGCTGGATTTCAGAGTAACCTAGTTGGAAAACATCTGATCCAGCACTTGTGAAATACATAGTACTATTTAAAAGGCCCTCCTTTTGCCCAGAATCCTTCAGTGAGGCTAGATAACACATCCCTGGGGTCCCTCCTTCCTTCCGCTTACCTTGCAACAAGCTGCTGCCAGATTCACACGTGCCACCTAACTAGAAAAGCAGCGAGTCTGCCATGTTCAATCCAGTGCATGGGTAAGGAAGCTAGGCGCATGCTCAGTAAGGCCGTGAAGCCGAAACTAAGTGAGGGCGGATGCATAGGGTTGTTTTTCTAAACCACGCATGCTCAGTGATGTTCTGAAGCCCAAACGAGTAAGAGCAGTCAGTGCGCACGCGCAGTGAAAATAACATTGGCCCTATTATTTCAAAGGTGGTTATTATCATGGGCGAATTATAAAAAGTGAAATAAGTATAGAAAGTAAAGATAAATATGATAATAGTAGTTAGTCATAAAGAAGAAAAAGAGACATCTTTTGTAATTACTTTCCTCTGCTATTCCTATTTGCAGCCACTAGAGGGTGCTGCTGACTGCATTATGGCAGAGTGCATCTTCACATCACTGTTGGATTTAGAGCTACAGTATATGATTTCACGTTTCCTGCCATTATTCCATCCTATGGGTTCCTAGGATTTATAGTTTTATGTGGTTTAGTGGCTTGAGTGTTCAGATATACCTCTTGAGATCAGGATTCGAATCCCTATTCAGCCATGGAAACCCACAGAGTGATCTTGGAAAAGACACACACTCTCAGCCTCAGGGCCCTTCCAGACAGTACCTGTATTGCAGTATCTACTACAATAAAGAAGAGGCTGTCCAAACAACGTTTGGGACAGTCCCGAATTAATTCACTACAAACCAGGAAAACCCTGGTTTGTAGCAAATTAATTAGATAGTGGGTTTATTCCGCGCCATATTCCCACTATTTCCGATTCTGGACTGCAGAATATTGCAGTCCAGACAGTACTCTTACAGTTTACCGGGCTAAATAAGCTCGGTAAACTGTGGGAATACCCATCTCCCTTCCCTGCAAGCCCCCAGACCCATTAGAAAAGTAATAAAAACTTACCTGTCCTCCATTATGAGCCTCGACCGGCTCTCCCGGAGTGTAGAAATGATGCACCAGTAGAGCGGGGGGGGGGGGGGGGAGGATGGAGGAAAATCGCTCCCCACTCCTGCTCTCCTGCCGTGCCATTTCTTTGCTCTGGGAGAGCTGGCCGAAGCTTGTAATGGAGGACGGGTAAGTTTTTATTACTTTTCTTAGGGGTCTGGGGCTTGGAGGGAGGAGGGAAGGCCTCCAGATGTTCTCTTGGGCTAGTCCTGAGAGAGTGCCTGGACACCCACCCCAGAAAGCGTACGCTTTCTGGGGTGGGTGTGGACAGGTCCCAGGAAAATCCGTGTTCTTGGAAGGTGCGGGATAAATCCACTATCTCCGGTGTCTGGACACCATTCACACAGTTTACCAGGCTAAATAAATCCGGTAAACTGTGGGAATACTCACCACCCTCTCCCCAAGCCCCCCGACCCTTTTGAAAAATAAAAAGAACTTGCCAGGCCTGCAGTATACCCTTGGAGCAGCTCTCCCGGCATGTACAAATGATGTGCCAGGAGAGCGGGGGGGGGGGGGGAAGGAAATCACCCCCCCCCCCCCCTCTCCTGGCGCGTCATTTGTACGTGCCAGGAGAGCTGATCTGAGTGTAAAGTTCTTTTTACTTTTCTACGAGCCTGGGGGCTTGGAGGGAGGGGGCCAAGGCCTCCAGCCATTCTCTCGTGCCAGTCCTGAGTGCATGTCTGGACACCCACCCCAGCAAGCATGCACTTTCTGGGGTGGGTGTGGACAGGCTACCAGAAGCATCCACATATTTTTTTTTTTAGCAAGGATGCTTCTGGGACAAAGGCCTGTTTGGATCTGGCCCTAGAATATCAAGGCAAAAAATCCCACAATATCTGCTTTGAACTGGGTTATCCGTGTCCACACTGCCATATAATCCAGGTCAAAGCATATAGTGTGGAATTTTATTCAGCTGTGTGGAAGGGGCTCAAGATTCTTATGGCACTGTAAAAACAAAAGGGAGTGCATAGTGTGTCATGAAGCATTGAGTCACTTGCTTAATGCATAAAACCACAAAGAGTCATGTGGTGCTTTGTGGCCTCTGGTTTAGATCAGAACATGGTTGCTAATATTTAAGGAGCCACAACACTCTGAGGGCCCTTCTACACTGCCATATAAAAACCAGATTATCTGCTTTGAACTGGATTCTATGGCAGTGTAGACTCATATAATCTAGTTATTTATGTATTTGCTGTTTATTTACTATATTTATATCCCGTCTTTCTCCACCCCAAACGGATAATCTGGATTATATGACAGTGTAAATCCAGCCTGAGTCCCAAAATAATTTTCTTAATAATAATAATTATGTTGAACATGAATTTGGGAGGCCCTGACTCCTATGGCTCCCAGAACGCCTCAGCAAGTACATCCCAGGCACTCCCTGCTGGGAGTCTTCTTCCAAGAGGCGCTTCCTTGGGAGGAGATGAGCAGCGTGACGGAGAAGGGCCTTGAAAGTAGAGCGGCGGGGGCCACGCAGACAGCCCAGCGGGCCATCACTCCCAGTCAGTCCCCATGGAATGGGGAGTAGTCTTAAACGGCAAGTATATCCCTAACTCTGTATTTTGTCTTGAAAAGTTGGGGGCCCATCTTATACCCCCAGTCGCCTTATATGCCAGAAAATACGGTACCTAAAAGTATGATTTGGAATGCAAGGAGCCATGACAAACTGTGTAGAAACATGTAAAGGGGTTAGACAAGTGTGTATATCAGCATCGCTGTTATTTAGCTTATATGTAAATCATCTACCTGAACAGCTGAAGGATCCAGAGGTACATATGCCTAAGGTGCTTAAAACACACTTTAACATATGCTGATGACATGATTTATTTTGAATCTTTGGAGCGTCAGAAGTAGAAGATATTGCACATGTACTGTTTAGTTGTGACTTGTACACAACTAAACAGAGAAAGAGAGAAGCCAATACCTCGGGCCATACATTATTTAAAAAACACATTGGGATCCGTATATTAAAACTACATTTTTATTGGCTGGCCAGAAGACTAAAATAACATACAGAACAGCCCTTTTCCTATTTAAAGCAATACAGCTAAGAATTGAATATTTAGAGTTGACTGGGGTGATGCAGATATTTGATCTGGATTGGAACCTTTTTAACAGCTTGTTTATTTTCACTTATTTTGTACTGTATGTGTATGTTTAGCATATGTTTTTAATAGGCTAATCAATAAGTGGTGCAGTGGGTTAAAGCGCTGAGCTGCTGAGCTTGTTGACCGAAAGGTTGCAGGTTCGATTCTGGGGAGCGGCGTGAGCTTCCGCTGTCAGCCCTAGCTTCTGCCAACCTAGCAGTTCGAAAACATGCAAATGTGAGTAGATCAATAGGTACCACTCAGGCGGGAAGGTAACGGCACTCCATGGAGTCATGACCTTGACCACATGACCTTGGAGGTGTCTATGGACAACGTCGGCTCTTCGGCTTAGAAACGGAGATGAGCACCACACCCCAGAGTCAGACATGACTGGACTTAATGTCAGGGGACTACCTTTACCTTAATCACTAAAAGGTACTACAAGCAAGGCGTTTACAATTGCTTTAAAAGATGGGAGAAGTGTGTGTCCCTAGGTGGCACCTATGGAGAGATGGACCAATATCTGTGCTAAGTATGATAGCTCTCAGTACACAATAACCCAGAATATAACCAGAATATCAAGGCCAAAAATCCTACAGTCTTATTTGAACTGGGTTATGAGTCCACACTATCATATATTCCAGTACAAAGCAGATTTTTTTTGGTCGTGTCAGAAGTGACTTGAGAAACTGCAAGTCGCTTCTGGTGTGAGAGAATTGGCCGTCTGCAAGGACATTGCCCAGGGGACGCCCGGATGATTTGATGTTTTTATCATCCTTGTGGGAGGCTTCTCTCATGTCCCCATATAAGAAGCTGGAGCTGATAGAGGGAGCTCATCCACCTCTCCCCAGATTTGAACCTGCGACCTGTCGGTCTTCAGTCCTGCCGGCACAGGGGTTTAACCCACTGCACCACCGGGGGCTCCTACAAACCAGATAATGTGGGATTTTATTCAGCTGTGTGGAAGGGGCCTTATTGCTTTCAGCCACTTCAGGAAATCCACTAAGGTCCCTAGGGTGGCACCACTAAGGATTTGCTTAAGAGCCCTTCCACACAGTTCTGTATCCCAGAATATCAAGGCAGGAAATCCCACAATATCTGCTTTGAACTGGGTCATCTGAATCCACACTCAGATAATGTGGGATTTTCTGTCTTAATATTCTGGAGAAGAGAGTTGTGTGGAAGGGCCCCAAGCTTGACCAACATTGCATTGGCATTGCGCATGCGCCAAACTTCTCCTAACTCCTCACCCTTCAGGTCCAAGGAATGCCCCGAGAGAGAGAGAAAAGAAAGGGAGCGGGGCTTGAGAAGGGCGTGGCCTCCCCCTCACCGACCAATCCCAGAGCTTTGGAACGCGGTTTGTGTTCTTTCCACGCGGCCAGCCTGGCGAGGTCCCGCCCCCCCGTGTGCGCGGACCCGGAAGCCGCCGGCGGGGCAGCCCTCGAGCTCGGCCAGCGGGGAAGTGGGAACGGGAAGCTGCGGCTGGGACTCCGAGCGGGATCGGGCAAAGGTAAAGCGGCTGGGGAAGTGAATGCAGCTCGTCCTGTTGCAGAGCCAAGTAGCAGTCCAGGAACTGGGAACAGGCTGCTTTTCAGGAGGAAGCCCTTCTGCCTAAGAAAACCATATGAAATGCATGGGATTCGCCTTAACTAGGCAGGTGACTGAAGTCCATCTGCATTGCCATATAATGCAGTCTGTAGACTCTTATAATGCAGTTACACTAAAGTCTGGCTGGGTACAGAAGTCTGGCTGTGAGTACAGACCACACCCTGGATGCATCTACAATGCAGAATTATTTATTTATTTATTTATTTATTTATTTACTGCGCTTATATACCGCAATTCTCAGCCCCAAGGGAATTAATCAGGCTGGCCAATTGCAAAGTCCTAAGTAAACCAACAGGGCTAACACCTCCCAACAAAGGATTCCCCCAGGCAGGAAGCAGCCAGGCTTTGAAGCTGCAAGGCTATTCAGTGGTAATCAAGCTGGTCAATTGCAGCTTTCACACTTGCCTCAAACAGACAAGGGCAAAAGTATGGTAGCTGGGAC